ACGCCGATGGGCTTCGCGCTCGCGACGGAGCTGGTGCAGCACAGCCACCGGCGGATGCTCACGCAGGCGCAGCTTGGCCCCATCGCCCTCGGCGCGGGAGGTCCGCAAAGACAAGCCTGCGCCCGCGCTGCGAGCTGGGCCAGCCTTGCGGGAGCTCTGGCAGGTCTTCTGCGACGGCACCGACTGCGCAGAGTTGGTCCACGCGGCGGCCACCCCCGAGGAAATCTTGGCTGCCTCCGCGCGGGCGCGCTACAGCTCCCGCAGCGCGCCGTTGAGCGAGAAGAATGGGGCACGGGCTGCCGCGCGCTGGCGTCGCGGCGCGCTGGGGCGGCCGAGACAGGCGCGCAAAAGCACCCCATTCCAGGGCAGCGTTGCGCGCGCAACTGACTCGCGGAGGAGGTCAGAGGGAACGAGGTGCAGGTGGTGGTGGGGCACGTTTGCCATTGAGCCGACTTCGCCGCGAGCGCAACGCCGCGTTTCTGCGGCTCTGGCAGGTCATCGCGCCCTGGGGCACCGAGCGACGCCACGGGTTCGAGCAGCGAGCCTTCGCTGGCCCTGAGCTCCCCGCCCCTTCGCGAGCCCGACCTGCGCGCGAGGGCCAGCGACATGGCGGCGGTCAGTGATGCTGCATGAAGGAGGCGCGCTGGTCGCGAACTCCCCACCCCGATTTTCGCGCCGCCGCGCCGTCCGACCCCGCTCGTGGTCGAGAGGTGTACCAGGTCTGGCTCATCCAGCTGGTTGGGGTCATCGGCTGCGGCCGCATGGCCCTCGGGCGCCCGGGCATCGAGGGCACTCTGCGCGCGCCGGCCGAGGTTGTCGTGTCCGCCGCGAGGGCCAGCCAGCAGCGCTTTCCGGAGTGCGTCGGGTTGGGCCACGTCCGCTGCACCATAGCCGCGGTGATGCGCGACCTCCTGTGGAAGGCTCCGCACTTGAAGGCCCCGTTCGTTTTGGAGGGTCGCCCTGCCGGACGCGTCGCGAGCGCGCGCTGGCGCGCATGGGCAGGGCGAGCGGCGCGCCCGTCTCGCGCGAGCTGGCCAGCCGAGCGACCCCGAACAGGCGGCTCATTGAGAACGGCAGCTCCATTAGCAAGAACGACCGCGAGCGCTCCAGCGAGGTCTTTCAGTCAATCCCGATCGAGTTGTGCGCAGGAGAGGCAATTCCACTCAAACGGCCAAGGCTGCGCTGGATCAGCTGGCCGCCTGGCGCTCAGGCCCAACTGCTCCGCTGGGGGGCCGCCCGGGCTGAGGCGATCATTGCGACGCTCCGCGGGGCGCGGCCCCGCTGGGCTGAGCGGCTCGGGCGAAGGGCGACCCGACCACGGGAAGAGCATGGCGCTCGGGCGACTTTCATGCGACCAGTCTGGCGTGAGCAGCCGCCCGCTGCCCTGGCCGGCCCATCCTCTGCGCCGCCGGAGGCGAGGGCCCGTTGGGGGTGGACCAGCACAGGCACGCGCCCAACGAATGCATGATCGGCAACATGGCGCAGACCAAGGGCGGTGAGCTACGACCTCTGTCCAGCGCAGAGAGGGCCGCGCGCTTGGGCCCCCCCCCATGCAGTGCGACTTGGCCGTGCCAAAAGTCTCGCGCTTGTCCTACCGCGAGGCCCCAGACATCCTGCGCGGGTTGCGCGGCGACGCCGTCTCCACGCAGGTCGCGGGGGCGCTCCACGTCCGAGGCATCGTCGCAGCGGGCGCGCGGGGGGCCGCCCTCGCGGGCGCCAGCGGCGCTGCGTTCCTCCGCGAGCTGTTCGGCGGCCGTGCGCGCGGGCCTTGTGCGCTTCGCCGCCTTCAAAGGTAGCGACGCGCGCGCGCCCCCAGGAGCGCTGCAAACCGCGCTGCGCGGCCTCGTCGCGGGGTCGAGTCTTTCTCCCGGGCGGAGGGCGGCGCGTCGACATTCTCGAGACGCAGGTCATGATGGCGATCGTTCGTTGGCGCGTGCGCGCTGCTTTCGCCCTGGGAGGGCGGTCGATTGATCTTCGCGGTTCCCAAGTGCGCGTCGCCGCCGCCTGAGGGCAGGGCAACATCATCGCCGCTGCAACGGCTGCTCATCCCGCTTGAGTCTGTCTCCAGCAGATGGCGGAAGCCATGCTGGAACCAGGCAAGAGCAGAGGCATCGCGACCGAGCAGCTGCAGACACTACGTTCGCTACATGTCCAGCCGCGCACTGTCGAGCGGCATTCGTAGGCGACGACGTTGTTCTTGTTTCCAATGTCTCAGGGCCCGAGGCGAGCCGCGGCCCGAGTCCGCCGCCGCCGCCGACGTGATCTTCGGAGAGTTTTTGGAGGATTGCTGGTCGCGCGGCCCGGATCCGCCACCGCCGCCGACGTGGTCTTCGGAAAGTTTTTGGAGGATTGCTGGTCGCAGGGGGAGGCTGAACCCCTGCTCGGTGGCGTCATCTGTGGGCTCAATCATGTCGTTCCAGTCTTGGGGCGCGGGCTGAAGGACGCCTGGCGATTGTTCCGGGCACGGTCCAATCGCGAAGCCCCTTCGAGAGCCTGTCCTTCGCTGCCCGGGCAGGTCCTGACGTAACCTCGCCGCGGGGGCAGAGCAGATTTGCTTGTGATTGTGTTGGGTTCTTCGGTTTTCACATTGCATTTTGGGCGCGCGCCTGGTGCCCAGAAGGATCGCTGGGGGCGACCAGAACAACGCCCGGAAGAGCGCCTGGGAGCGCGCTGGCGCGAGCACCCGGGCGAGCCCAGAAGAGTGCCGAGAACGGCGCCCAGGAAAACGCCATCAAGAGTGCCCAGAATATGGCCCGGACGCGAATCTGGAAGAGCGCCCGAAAGAGCGCCCGGAAGTGCGCCCAGAAGCGACCGATTTTGCGACCGATTTCGCGCCCGATTTCGCGTCCGATTTTTTGTGTGTCGATTCAATATTAAAATGAATCAGACGCAAATCGGATTTAAAATCGGACAAAACTCCGACGCAAATCGGACGCAAAATCGGACGCAAATCGGACGCAAAATCGGACGCAAAATCGGACGCAAAATCGGGAGCTGATGGTGTCGACCATTTCTGGGCGGATGAGGCAGCGTATCACGGTGCATCATGGCGAGGTCTGGCAGGGTGTGCATTGTGGACCCACGCGCGCAATTCAGCGTTGGAGTTTTAGCGATGTGGCGAAAGGCAAACTGCGATATCGCGCTGTGTCCAGGTCGGGCCAAATCGACAGAACAATCAGATCGCCGCTTCTGCGGCTGTTTTTCAGGTGACCTGACGACGGCCGCGGCTGCCGGCATGCTCGTCTGCCCCAACGAGCTTGGGCGGCCCATCCCGCTGGCGCCGCAGGGCCAGCCAGTGTGCTGTCGGTTGAGGTCGGGACATCGAGCGCGTCAGCCTTCGGCTGACCAAGAGTGGCAAGAGGGGCATGCGTTGCCGAGCACGTCGTGATAGATGAGCTCGAGGCCGTGACCCACCCGGCCCGGGCGCTCGGCAAACGTTCAGGCGGCGCGCAATTTCTCCATGGGGGTCCACAGGCTTCAAGGCGGCGCCCATGCGTCTTGCCTGTAATTTCGGCGCCAATCCCGATAGACATGAGCCCCGCAGCTTGCGCTGGGGAGGGGCTGCGCATCATGCCCAGGTCTCGGACAATTCGAGCAAGGAGTGCGTCCGCGGACGCCTTCTGGAGCGCCAGCCGACAGCGCGCATTTACGGCAGGGCGGAGCGGCGATGCTCGACCAATGCCGCTTCGCCCCGCAGGAGTGGTCAAAGTTGGCCGAGGGCCAGGCGCTGCTGCGCCGTCTCTTGTGAGCCCGATGCCATCCAGTGGCCTTCTCGCGTCGTCAATCTGGGAAGCATGGAAGGGGCGCCCGTGGCTTGGTCTCGCGACCTTCGCGGGCCAGACCTAGGCCGCGGCCCCCGCCCTCGGTGGCGCGCCACCTTGGGGGGGGGGCGGCTGTGACCAGCTGGAGGTCGCCAAGGGCTACGGTGACCAGGGCGCGCGCCTCGTTTCGCGGCCGCCCGCGCAGCGGGGCGCCCGCGGCTGCGGCGCAGCATAAGAGGGCGCGCCGCGCTGCGAGCAGGAGGATGGAAGAGAACGGGGGCCATGCACACTAGCATCGCGTCCTCGTGCGTTTGCGCGACAGCCCTCGCTCCCCACGGCATCTTCTGGGCCGTTGTTCGGGCCGCCGCCCCTGCTCCGCTGCGTCCCGGGGTGCGTGCGCCAACGGGCTGAGTTTCTGCATGCCCGCGGCTGCGGCAGCTGCGCTGAGCAGAGGAGCGGCGCCAAGGTGGCTGGGTCCCGCGGCCTTCGCGGACCAGACCTAGAGGCCGTGGCCCCCCGCCCTCGGTGGCGCGTCGCCTCGGGGGGGGGGAGGCGGCCGCCGGCCAGCTGGAGGGCGCCGAGGGCCACGGTGGGGGCCCGTGCCAAGAAGCGCCCTGCCTGCCTCCAGGGTGCCCTGGGCTTCTCTTGGGTTCCGATGGCTTTGCGGTGGAAGGCGTGGCGTTCCCGCGCGAGGAGTCCGGAGTCCATGGGCGTCCTGGGGTCTCAGGGTTTGGGTCTTTCGTGGAAGGTCTCCCGTGGTCGGGCCCCTACTGCGCTGCGACCAGAGTGTGCGCCTTATCGGGCAGCCGCTCGCACTACAGGGCGCCCGCGGCTGCGCGGCAGAGCAAAAGAAGGCCCGCCGCGCAGTGAGAAGGAGGATGGATGAGCAAGGGGGCCAGAAGCACGATGTGTGTTCATGTTGTGTTTCACCACTACTCTTCCCCCTCCCTTCGCTCCTGCCATCCTGTTCCTTGGCGCGCTGAATTCCTGGCCCGCCCCGCCATTGGCCGACTGCTTGCTGGATTCAGCTCGCCGCAAATCAAACAACAAAACAAACAGTACTCCTTTGCGATAGGCTCGCGTCGTGTCGACCGGCGGCGACCTGGCGACCGAGAGTCGGTCGATGTTGAAAGATCTGACTCCGACAACGGCCGATCGTTCAAGGTTGAACGATCGCCTGCGGTGTCAGAAACCAACGCCGAAGCCGGCACGACACGACGCTGCCGCCTCCTCGCCCAGGGCTCCCAAGCCTGGGAAATGGGCGACGCCGCCAACGGCAGCCACGTGCTCGCGCACCGCGACGGTTCCGCCGCCGACCGGGGGGTGGCGCCCGGGGACCCGTCCTCGGCGGAGGCGGAGCCAGACGCGCTCTTGCGCTCGGCCTTCCTCTGGTTCTTCCGGGGCGCACGTAACGCCCCATCGGAGTCATAGAAAAATTGCGACGGGAGGTGATGCGCGATTGTTGTGTTTCTGGGGGCCTTGGCTGCTTCACGACCGTTTCACAGAGAGCGAGGATGAAAACCCGGTCCTGGGGAATGGGTCGAGTCTTCTGAGGTCGACGCCATGAACAAAACATGCTGTCGGGGGTCTGGTAACGTGGTTCAGCGCTACAGCGGAGCTCCGACAGAACGCCGGGCCTTGCAGGATCCTGCGTTCAAGGACGGAGTTTGCCCGAGCCGGGTTTGGGAACCGCTCGCGACCCTGGAGGTGGCCTCGCAGATTGCCTCGCAGATTGGTTGAGCCAGGTTGGGAATCCCACTGAAAAACTGCGGCGCATGTTTCCCAAATCGGTTGGGCCAGGTTTGCGCTGAGCCAGTGCAGTGTGCGCGCGAGTCTCGGCGGCGCACAGAAGTGCACTGCAGCTATAAACGCATAAGCCGTCGGAGCTCCGCGCGGATTTCTTGGATCTGCGCTGGGGCGGGCCCCCAGGCGGCGCCTCCGGCGCCGCGCCTGGCGCACCCCGCACGCCATGGAGGAGCCCCGCGCAGATCCAGGAAGTCCGCGCGGAGCTTCGACGGTGTAGGTTTATGTCTCTGGCTCTTGTAGGGAGAGCGCGGGGCGAGGAGGCGGGGGGGCAGCCTTCTAAGAGGGCGCCCCACCTGTGACGGCCAGGAAGGCTCCCTCAGCGTGCCGCGCCGCCGGTTCTGGCCCGCCACACTTCGGCGCGACGCGCGAACCGCTTTCCCACTCCCAAGCGTCAACGTCCCGAGCCTTTCCCAGCCTCTCGCCCCGTGGAGCGGAGCGACACGAATCTGCCGGCAGGGCATAGCGTGTCGCCGGGCCCGTCGCCGCGACACGCTAAGCTCAGGAGGGGAAAAAGCACACAGGCACAATTAATCGTCGATTCCCCAGAAAATATGGAAAAATATAGGACACATTGGGAATCATTTTATTTGTGTGTGTATTTATTTGTGTGTCCTGGGGCCCCTTCATAAGCGAAAACTCCCGACCGTAGAGGCCACCTGCACTCCAAAGAAGCTCTCCTGGGAACCTCCGAGTCCTTCCAGGGAGCCCCCCTGCCTGTTCAGAGGGCCGCCCCCCTGCCTTCTGCGGCGAAGGGGCTGGGGCGAGGCGCTCTCGCGCCACGCCCTCCTGACGGGCCGGTCGGCTTTCGGGCCATATACACAATGTTCATTTCTAATTCTTCGAGTTTTCGTTTTGAGTTTTTGGGGGGCCAAGATCTTTTCATTTCTAATTGTTCTATCCATGGCCTTTTCCTGGCCCCCAGGGGGCCAGGAACAATTAGAAACGAGCACAATTAGAAATGAGCACGGTAAGAAATGAACGACGTGTGGCTCTTTCTCCGGCGGCAGTGCGGAACGATCGGGGCGAGCCCCAGAGCGCCCGCGGCGCAGGGGCAGCTGCTGGAGCGCACCCTGGGGCTTAAGACAGGCCGGGAGCCGACGCGAGAACGCTTGAACACCTCAGGCCTCGAGCCCCCACGGAGCCCGTCCTTCAGGCGGGCGTGTCCCTCCACAGGAGGAATCTTCGAAGATAGTAAGAATATAGTCTTGGGACGACTTTTCTGGCATTTTGGCTGTGTCCGATTCTGCATGTTTGGGGGGTATTTGCCATTCTTCGTCCACTCTCCGCCTGCAGGAGGGCACGCCCGACCTGAGCCTATCCCCCACCACCGAGGTTCATGACAGACCTCCTCGTCGACCACGCCAAGTTCATCGGCCCGAAGCACGAGAACGGCTTCGACCACGCCGGCTTCCTGGCCCAGCGGCCCGAGTGCGACCGGCCGTTCCTGCTGGAGCTCACGGGCACGCAGATGTGGGCGGTGTGGATTGCGAGGCGGCAGGACCGGGACTCGAAGGACGTCCTCCTCTTCGACGACATCATCAACCAGAAGCTCAATCGGAAGGAGACCGTTTTTTTCCTCCCCGGGCGATGGCGGGCGGGAGGGGGTGGGCCGGTGACGTCGTGATTCGCGCCAGCGCCGCCTGGAAATGCTTCACAGAGAGCGGATCGTGCCCAGGCGGCGCCAGCGCGACTCGTCACCGGACCAGGGAGGGGCACGGAGGGGCGGGGCCGGATGCGGGCGGCTTCGCGAGTCAGAGATATGACCGCTCCAGACGACGACGCTGAAGAAGTTCGCGACGCCCCTCCTGAACAACCACTTCTGGAACTGCCACGGCTCGGGGGAGTACTACGTGGTGCCCGACCCGCCGTGCCAGGAGCCCGGCAGCCCTCCGGGCGAGGAGGTGCGCGGCGCGGCCGCCCCCTCGCGCCGCTGGGCGCTCGACCTGGCCAGGCTCCCGGCGCCGCGGCCCCTGCCGAACCTGCAGGCGTCCCTGCCGCTGCCGGCGCGCGCGCCTCGCCACGCCGCCCACGCCGACGGGGCGGCGGGCCGGGACCCCCTGCTGTCGCAGCAGCGGGCGCCGCTGCAGTGGCACTCCAGCATCGTGCAACCGATGCCCATCCCCCCTCCCCCCTCCCCTTCGAGACCCCCACCAAAGTGACACCCCATGTGGGGATGCACCCCTCGAAACCCGAAGGGCACGGCCTGTGTCCCCATCTAGGGGGGGCAAATGGGCCAGTGGGGCCCAGGCCACGCTGGTGGGGATGGGGATCGGGCAAACGATACTCAGGTACGTGTGCCACTGCTGGCTGCTGACGTGGGCCGCCTTCCTGCCGGAGGTCCCTGGCGACGGCGCGCTGCTCTGGGCGAAGATGGACGTGTGCCTGGGCGTGCTGCACAGGATGGTGGCCCCCGCCGAGCAGCGGTCCGACTGGCCCCCCCCGCACGACCTGGCGCTCAGTTTGCTCGCCGCAGCCTGCGCCAGGTGCGGTCCCGCGAGGGTGGATCTCGCTCGGCGCCTCTTCACGTGGATGCGGGCGCGGCGCCTTGGGGCGGCGACGCATCCCCGCAGCACCGCCGTGTTCTTCGAGCGTTTTGTGCAGTTGTGCGCCTCTGGAGGTCCCTCGGCGCCTTCGGCGCCCGTCCGGAGGTCGCCCGCGGAGAAGAGCGGGGGCTCGGTCGAGAAGGTTGCCCGCATGGCCGAGGCGCGCGTCGCGGAGGAGCTCCTCGCGCGGCCGTCTGGCCCGCATGCCGCTCCTGCCACGGTGCCCGCCGAGTCGCCGCTGCAGGTCGGGCGGCTGACCCTGACGCACGCAGGCTGCTGCCCCAAGTGCGAGAGGCTGCTGACAGTCCACGAGGCTCAGAGGAGGAAAAGGTACCCATGCCGCTCCACCCTCTCCTCGTTTTCCCCTTTGTGGGCCTCCTCGGAGGCCCTCGTCGCAACCGCTGGATTCGCCCCGAAGTTCTGGTCAGAACGCACCCCGGGAGAGGTCTGGCGAGGAGCGGCGCCGGAACCTCTTTTTGGCTCCCGCAGAGGTGATGGCTCAGTGGGCCAAGCCTGGGGCGGAGGAGGCCAGCGCAGTCCGCTGCTCGGGCTGCGCCTCCCACGCCGAGCCGCTCCTGCACGTGGCCGGGGCGGGCGCGCCCGTGGCGCAGGTGCCGCTCCTGCACCCTCGGCGCCTGGCCGCGTCGCTCCCGCAGCGCCTCGGGGGCGCCCCGCTGGCGGCGGGGCCCGGGTGCCTGGCGGGGCTGGCCGCGGAGGACTTCCCCGCGTGGGCCAGCCTGCTCTGGCACTTCCGCGCCGCGGGCCTCTTCTCCCAGCACCTGGCGGCGGCCGCCCTCGGCCGCCCCTGGCCGGCGGGCGGCGGCGGCCCCCCCGGCCGAGGCCCGGGCGCCCCCGCCGCCGCGCCGCCGCAGGCGCGCCCCCGCGAGGGCGCCGCGCGGGAGGCGGCTGGGGAGCTCGTCCTGGAGGCGGCCCCAGCCCTCTCGGAGGGTGCCGGCGGCGGCCCGCAGGGGCCGGCGGCGGTGGCCCTGGAGGCGCTGGAGCTCCCGCCAGACACGCCGGGGACCTCGCTCTCGAAGGATCGGGCCGGACGAGAGTCAGGGAGGGGAAAACACACGGGCACAATTCATCGTCGATTCCCCAGAAAATACATAGGAAAGCATGGGAAGTGGGGGGGGGGAAGACAAGAACACCGAAAATATGGGAAAACATGGGGAATGCTTTTATTTGTGTGTATTCATTTGTGTGTTCCAGGGCCCCTTCAGAAAGGGGGGGGGAGTGGGGAAGAGGAGGTTGCGAAACATTTGCTGCGTGCAGCTGGTTTCGGCCTCGCCGAGGGGCCCATCCCTCGAGACATAGCCGCCTCCGGCGCCGGGAGGCGCCGGGGAAAGTCAGCTGCGTGAGCTGATTCTCGAACCCCCCCTTTGCTATCCCCCCCTTTCGCCCGACCCGAAAGGAGGGCGGCACCAGGGTGCCCAGCACTGCCGCCAGCACGCCCCTGGAGCCCCGCAGCGTCAGCCGCGAGGCGCTTGAGCGCCTGCAGGTGGACCGCGAGGACCTGGTGGCCCAGCTGGCCCTGAGCGCTCGAGCGGTCGAGCATCTGCGCATGCAGCGGGAGGACCGCAGCGTCAGCCGCGAGGCGCTCGAGTGCAGTCAAAACGCTGATCTGAGCTACAGGTTGGTTTCGGAAGGGGCTGGATGTTCCTTGGGTCCTCCCACGTCTGTTCCTCTAGCCCTCGCGGTTTTGGAGCCGAGAAGGGGTTTCGTCCCTTATTTACCGTTCCTCATGTCGGCGGCCCCACTATACCTGCAGGTGGACCGCGAGGACCTGGCGGCCCAGCTGGCCCTGAGCGCTCGAGCGGTCGAGCATCTGCGCATGCAGCGGGAGGACCGCAGCGTCAGCCGCGAGGCGCTCGACCCAGACCCCCGACGTCGTGATTTTTTTCGAAACGTCGACCCCCAGAGGTCTGGACCCCTTCCACGGGACTGGTTCTTCATCCTGAGTTGTTTTTGACGGTCCCGAGACCTGGTAAGTGCCCCCGGAGACCAAAAATACTTAAGCATTTCCCGTCGTGATTTCCTACAACGTGAGGGGGTCTGGGGAGCGCCTGCGGGTGGACCGCGAGGACCTGGTGGCCCAGCTGGCCCTGAGCGCCCGAGCGGTCGAGCATCTGCGCATGCAGCGGGAGGACCGCAGCGTCAGCCGCGAGGCGCTCGAGTGCCCGCAGGTGGACCACGAGGACGACGACGACGACGACGCCGACGCCGACGTCGACGCCGACCACAACGACGACGCCGACGACGCCGACGACGCCGACGACGACTTCGACGACGACGCCGCCGACGCCGACGACATCGATGCCGCCGCTGACGCCGACTCCGACGCCGTGGACGACGACGACGACGACGCCTACGACGACGACGACGACGACGACGACGACGACGACGCTGACGCCTTTAATGGCACGGTCGAGTGCCTGCGCAGGGGGCTGGCCTATGCGACGGGCCCGACGAAGGTCAACGCCCACCTCTGGAGCAGGAGCCTCGCCGCCTTCGAGCCTGGCAGCTTCAGGGTGAATAAGGTGCCCGCCCACTGCAGCTGGCAGGCAGTGCTCGACGGGCGCCTCACGGAGGCGCAGAGGCGCGGCAACCAGCACGCCGACCGCCTCGCCAAGTTGGGGGCTCGGCTGCACGCCGTGGACGCCCAGACCGTGGGCGAGCACCGTGCCCTGGCGGGTTTCGTCCAAGAGCTGGCCCGCTGGGTGGGCCAGGCGGCCGTCATCTGGCAGGACATCGTGGAGAAGGACAGTGACGGGTTCCTCGAGTCCGACGAGAGGCAGCGGGTGAGGTTTGCCGACCATGAGGAGCGAGCCGAGCTTCCCACTGCAGGCAGGCCGACGGCTCAGCAGCCGCGCGTGGAGTGCGTGCGCTCGGTGGCCAGCGTTGTTGGCCTCTCCATCACCACGGCTGGCATCTGCTACCTCGGCCACTCCCTGGCGTACGCGTGCTGCGACGTGGGTGAGGAGCCCCAGGAGCTGGTGGCATGCAGCAGGTGTGGGGCCTACATGGTCCTCGGCGGCCGCTCTGGAGGCCGCCCAAAGCTCAAGGAGCCATGCGTCGGCGAGAGGGCCACTGGGCAGCGCAGCCAGCGCCGCCTCTGGGCTCGAGGGCTGCATCCAGGCGGACGGCCTCGCGGAGGAGACCAGCAGCGCAGGGAGAAAGGTGCCGAGATCCCCGCGCTGCGGCTGCAGGGCCCCCTGCCCCCATCGGCCCAGGAGGCCTTCCTGGCCTGGCTGGGCCTCGTGGGCGAAGCGGGCCCGCCGCCAGCAGGTGGCAGCTCGGCGGCAGTGTCTGGAGGCGCAGGCGGCCGCGAGCAGGAGGCGTCGGCGCGGCCGACGGCACCAGCGCAGCAGGTGGTGGCGGGCGGCGGCCCGCGGGCCGCCTTGCTGGCCGCGTACGGCATGGACGAGCAGGACCTCGCCGAGCGGGTGCTGGCCGCCAACTCCGCCGCGGAGGACCGCCGCGTCCGCCCGCGGCGCGGCCGCGGCCTGAGCCCCGTCGGCGAGGGCTCGGGCGAGTAGGCTCGCCTGGAGTCGCCTTCATGGCCCCGCGAATCGAATCGAATCGACGACGCTGACGCCGACGCTGACGCCGACGCTGGGCGCCGACGCCGACGCCGACGCCGACGACGACGACGCCGACGACGCCGACGACGACGCTGACGCCGACGCCGACGCTGACGGCTACGACGACGACGACGCCGACGACGACGACGACGCCGACGCCGACGGTGACGCCGACGCCGATGACGACGACGACGCCGCGGACGACGACGACGACGCCGACACCGACGACGCCGACGCCGACGCCGACGACGCCGCGGATGACGCCGACGACGCCGACGCCGACGACACCGACGCCGACGCCGACGCCGACGCCGACGACGACGACGTCGACGACGACGCCGACGACGACGACGACGCTGACGCCGACGCTGACGCCGACGCTGGGCGCCGACGCCGACGACGACGCCGACGACGCCGACGACGCTGACGCCGACGCCGACGCTGACGGCTACGACGACGACGACGCCGACGACGACGACGACGCCGCCGCCAACGCCGACGCCGACGCCGTGGACGACGACGACGACGACGCTGACGCCGACGCTGACGCCGACGCTGGGCGCCGACGCCGACGACGACGACGCCGACGACGCCGACGACGACGCTGACGCCGACGCCGACGCTGACGGCTACGACGACGACGACGCCGACGACAACGACGACGACGCCGACGCCGACGCTGACGCTGGCGCCGGGCGCCGACGCCGACGACGACGCCGACGACGACGTCGAAGCCGACGCCGACGCCAATGCCGACGCCGACGCCGACGCTGACGACTACGACGATGACGACGCCGACGCCGCCGCGGACGCCGATGACGACGACGACGCCGCGGACGACGCCGACGACGCCGACACCGACGACGCCGACGCCGACGCCGGTGCCAATGCCGACGCCGACGCGGACGCCGACACCGACGACGCCGACGCCGACGCCGACGACGCCGCGGATGACGCCGACGACGCCGACGCCGACGACACCGACGCCGACGCCGACGCCGACGCCGACGACGACGACGTCGACGACGACGACGCCGACGCCGACGCCGACGCCGACGTCGACGCCGACGCCGTCGCCGACGCTGACGACGACGACGACGCCGCGGACGACGACGCCGCCAATGCCGACGACGTCGCAGACGACGCCGACGACGACGACAACGACGACGCCGACGGCGCCGACGAAACCGACGACGCCGCCGACGACGACGACGCCGACGCCGACGCCGACGACGACGACAGACGACGCGAAGGACGAGGCCGGCGACGCTGGCGCCCATGACGACGCCGACGACGACGAGGCCGACGACGACGTCGACGCCGACTCTGGGGCCGACGACGGCGACGACCCCGACGACGAGTACAACAACGACGCCGCCGACGCCGACGCGAACGACGACGACGACGACGACGGCGACGCCGACGCTGACGCCGAGGACGCTGCCGCGGACGACGACGACAACGACGACGACGACGACGACAACGACGACGACGACGGCGACGACGACGACGCCGCCGACGACGACGACGCCGACGACGCCGACGACGACGATGACGAAGCCGAAGTCGACGCCGGCGCCGACGACAACGTCGACGACGCCGCCGTGGACGCCGACGACGGCGACGACGCCGACGCCATCGCCAGCGCAAACGCCGCCGACGACGCCGACTATGACGACTACGCCCACGACGACGACGACGCCAACGCCGACGCTGGAACTGACGATGCCGACGCAGACGACGACGACGACGACGCCGACGCCGACGCCGCCGACGACGACGACGTCGACGCCGACGCCAACGCTGGCGCCGACGCAGACGAGATGACGAACCCAACGACACAGGCGACGACGACGACGCCGACTCCGACGACGCCGACGCTGCTGACGGCGACGACACCAACGCCGACGCGGACGCAGACGACGACGCCGCCGCGGACGCCGACGACGCCGATGCCGACGACGACGCCGACGACGGCGCCGACGCCGACGCCAACGACGACGACGACGACGCAGACGCCGACGACGACGACGCAGACGATACCGACTACGAGGCTCACGACGACGCCGACGCCGACGCCGCTGACGACGCCGACGACGACGACGGCGACGCGGAAGGCGACGACGCAGCTGGCGCCCACGCCGACGATGACGACGCCGACGCCGACGCCGACGACGCTGACACCGACAGCGACGACGACGACGCCGACGCCGACGCCGACGCCGACGCAACGATGACGCCGACGACGACGCCGACGGCGACAACGCCGACGACGCCGACGACGACGACAACGCCGACGACGACGATGACAACGCCGACGACGACGACAAGGCCGACGACGACGACGACGCCGACGCTGGCGCCGACGATGCCGCTGCGGGCGACGACGACGACGTCGACGCCGACGCCGACTCTGACGCCGACGCTGGCGCCGGCGCCGACGCCGACGACGACGACGACGCCGACGACGACGACGAGGGCGACGACGACGCGTACCCGGATGACAACTCCGCCGCGGACGACGCCGACGATGACGACAGACGACGCGGACGACGACACCGACACCGACACCGACGACGACGACGCCGACGCCGACGGCGACGCAACGGCGAAGCCCACGACGACGCCGACGCCGACGCCGACGACGCCGACGACGACGACGCCGACGACGACGCCGACCAGGCCGACGACGACGCCGACGCCGACGTCGACGCCGACACCGCCGTCGACGACGACGCCGACGACGTCGTCGCTGACGACGCCGACGACGCCGACGCCGACGACAAGCACGACGACGACGTCGACGCCCACGCCGACACTGGCGCCGACGCCGCCGCGGACGACGACGCCAACGACGACGACGACGATGACGCCGACGACGCCGACAACGTCCACGACGACGAGGCTGACGGCGACGCCATCGCTGGCGCTGGCGCCGACGACGTTGGCGCGGACGACGACGACGACGCCGACGCCGACGCCAGAGCGGACGCCGATGACGCCGACGACGCCGACGCCGACGACGCCGACGACGACGACGCCGACGACGACGACGACGACGACACGGCCGACCTCGACACCGACGCCGACGCTGGCGCCGGCGACACCGCCGCGGACAACGATGACGCCGACGCCGACGTCGACGCTGACGCCGACGCCGCCGCTGGCGCCGACGCCGACGACGACGACGCCGACGACGCCGACGCCGACGACGACGCCGACGACGACGATGACGACGCCGACGCCGACGCCAACGCCGAGGCCGACACCAGCGCCGACGCCGTCGACGACGTCGCCGACGACGACAACGGCGACGCCGACGACGCTGCGGACGACGACGACGAGGCCGCCGACGACGCAGCCGCGGACGACGACGACGACGCCGACGCCGATCCTGACGACGACGCCGGCGCTGGCGCCGACGCCGACGACGACGCCAACGACGACGACGACGACGACGACGACGACGACGACGACGACGACGACGACGACGACGACGACAAGGCCAACACCGACGCCGACGCCGAGGCTGGTGCCGTCGACGCCGCCGTGGATGACGACGACGACGTCGACGACGACGACGACGACGACGACGACGACGACGACGACGCCGTTGCCGACGCTGCCGCCGACGCTGGCGCTGGCGCCGACGCCGACGACGACGCCGACGACGTCGACGCCGACGACGACAAGGCCGACGACGACGCCAGCGCTGGTGCCGTGCCGATGCCGACGACGCCGACGCCGACGCCGACGCCTCCGTGAGCCCCGACGACGCTGACGACGCCGACGCCGCTGACGACGACGGCGACGCGGACTACGCCGACGACGACGCCGACACCGACGCCGGGCGCCGACGCCGACGACGACGAAGACGCCGACGTCGACGGCGACGCCGACGACGACGACGAAGCCGACGCTGACGACGACGACGGCGGCGACGACGACGCCGACGATGACGACGACGCTGCCGCCGCCGCCGACGCCGACGCCGACGCCGACGCCGACGCCGACGCCGACGCCGACGCCGACGCCGATGACGCCGCCGACGCCGCCGACGACGACGAGGACGACGACGACGATGACGCCGACGACGCCGACGCCTGCGTGGGCGCCGACGCCGACGCCGACGACCGCCGCGGACGACGACGACGACGACGCCGACGCTGACGCCGACGCTGGGCGCCGACGCCGACGCCGCCGACGACGACGCCGCCGACAACCACGCCGGCGCCGACGACGACGACAAGGCCGACGCTGACGACGACGACGGCGGCGACGATGACGACGAGGACGACGACGACGACGACGACGACGACGACGACGACGACGACGACGACGACGACGACGACGACGACGACGACGACGACGACGACGTCGACGACGACGCCGCCGCCGCCGACGCCGACGCCGACGCCGACGCCGACGCCGACGCCGACGACGACGCCGACGCCGACGCCCACGCTGACGCCGACGACGACGACGACGACGCCGCCGCCGCCGCCGACGCCAGCGCCGACGCCGACGCCGACTCCGACGACGCCGCGGCCGACGCTCACGCCGACGACGAAGACGACGACGACGCCGACGCCGACGCCTGGTTGGGCGCCGACGACAACGCCGACGACGACGCCGCTGACGACGACAACGACGCCGACTACGCCGACGACGACGACGCCGGACGACGACGCCGACGCCGACGCCGACGCCGACGCCGACGACCGACGCCGACGCCGACGCCGCTGACGACGACGACGCCGACGACGCCGACGACGACGACGAGGCCGACGCCGACGCCGACGCCGCTGACGACGACGACGCCGACGACGCCGACGCCACCGACGCCGACTACGCCGACGACGACGCCGACGCCAGCGACGAGAACGACGACGACGCCGGAGTGGAGGACGACGAGGCCGGCGACGACGCCGCTGTCGACGACGACGACGCCGACGACGCCGACGCCGCTGACGACGACCACGACGCCGACGACGCCGATGCCTGCGTGGGCGCCGACGACGACGCCCCCGACGCTTACGTCACTGACGACGACGACAACGTCAGCGACGAGGACGACGACGCCGGCGACGAGGACGACGAGGCCGAGGCTGACGCCGCTGACGACGACGACGCCGACGACGCTGACGCCTGCGTGGGCGCCGACGACGACGCCGACGACGCCGACGCTGCTGGCGACGACGACGCCGACGACGCCGACTCCTGCGTGGGCGCCGTCGGCGACGAGGACGACGACGACGCTGGCGACGAGGACGACGACGACGCCGACGCCGGCGCCGACGGTGGCACCGACGAGGCTGACGCCTGCGTAGGCGCCGACGACGACGCCGACGCCGCTGACGACGACGACGCCGCCGACGACGCCGACGCTTGTATGGGCGCCGACGACGACGCCACCGACGCCTACGTCGCTGACGACGACGACGCCGGTGACGAGGACGACGACGACGCCGGCGACGAGGACGACGAGGCCGACGCCGACGTCGCTGACGACGACGACGACGCCGACGACGCTCACGCCTGCATGGGCGCCGACGACGAGGCCGACGACGCCGACGCCTCTGACGACGACGACGCCGACGCCAGCGACGAGAACGACGACGACGCCGGAGTGGAGGACGACGAGGCCGGCGACGACGCCGCTGTCGACGACGACGACGCCGACGACGCCGACGCCGCTGACGACGACCACGACGCCGACGACGCCGATGCCTGCGTGGGCGCCGACGACGACGCCCCCGACGCTTACGTCACTGACGACGCCCCCGACGCCCCCGACGACGAGGCCGACGGCGCCGACGCCTCTGACGACGACGACGCCGACGACGCTGACGCTTGCGTGGGCGCCGACGACGACGCCACCGACGCCTACGTCGCTGACGACGACGACGACGCCGGCGACGAGGACGACGACGCCGACGCCGACGCCGACGCTGGCACCGACGAGGCCGACGCCTCCGTGGGCGCCGACGACGACGCCGACGCCGCTGACGACGACGACGACGCCGACGACGCCGACGCCTGCGTGGGCGCCGACGACGACGCCGCCGACGCCGCCGCTGACGACGGCGACGACGACGACGCCGGCGACGGGGACGACGACGGCGCCAGCGACGAGGACGACGAGGCTGACGCCGACGCCGCTGACGACGACGCCGACGACGCCGACGACGACGCCGACGACGACGCCGACGACGCCGATTTTTGCGAGGGTGCCGGCGACGTCGCTGACGACGCCGACGCCGCTGACGACGACGACGCCGGCGACGAGGACGACGACGCCGGCGACGTGGACGACCAGGCCGACGCCGAGGCCCAGCTGCCCCTGAGCGCCCAAGCGGCCGAGCGCCCGCGCCTGCCGCGGGGAGGCCCCGCGGTGCAGGCGAGCGTGGGCCCCGCGCGGCAGGCGGAGCGCTCCTCCGCGGCGGCCGCGCGGGGGCGGTCGCCGGCGGAGCGCGGGCGCGCGCGGGCGGATGCCCGGCGGTGCTCGGGCGGAGCACCTCCTCCTCCTCCTCCTTCCTCCTCCTCCTCCTCCTCCTCCTCCTCCTCTCCTCCTCCCTCCTCCTCTCCTCTACCTCCTCCTCTACCTCCTCTCCCTCCTCGATCCTCATTATCCTCATCCTTCTCCTCCTCCTCCGCCTCCTCCTCCTCGCTCCTCCTCCTCCTCCTCCTCCTCCTCCTCCGCCTCCTCCTCCTCGTCCTCCTCCTCCTCCTTCTCCTCCTCCTCCTGGCCCCTCGCTCCTCGCTTCTCCTCCCCGTCCTCCTCCTCCTCCTCCTCATCCTCCTCCTTCTCCTCTTCCTTCTCAGGGCCCTTCTCCTTCTCCTCAGGGCCAGGCTCAGAACAAGCTAGATGCTCGTTTCGGGATCTTTCCTGGGGCCCACCTAACAGATCTTTTCGACTCAAGTTCGACTCATGCTCGATTCAAGCTAGACTCAGTCTCGAATCATGGTCGACTCAGATTCGACTCGAGCCGACGGACGTGTGATGCAGCTTCGACGCACGAGTGGTGTGAGCGGTTCCAGGAAGGTCCTCAGAGTGAGCATCTAAGAACGAGGTGGCCGAACCCAGAGATCCTGCGCATTGAGATTATCCCAGTGCGACCCTACCTAGGAGTTGGAGCCCCTAGGAAAGCAGCATTAGTAGTAACAGTAACGCTAAGCTAAAGCTAAGCTAAAGCTAAGCTGAAGCTAAGCTAAAGCTCAGCTAAAGCTAAGCTAAGGCTGAGCTAACACTAAGCTAAAGCTAAGCTAAAGCTAAGCTGGAGCTAAGTTAAAACTAAGCTAAAGCTAAAGCTAAATATAAGCTAAAGCTAAGCGAACGCTAAGCTAAAGCTAAGCTGAAGCTAAGCGACAGCTAAGCTAAATCTAAGCTAAGGCTAAGCTAAAGCTAAGCTAACGCTAAGCTAAAACTAAGCTGAAGCTCAGCTAAAGCTAAGCTAAAGCTAAGCTAAAGCTAAGCTGAAGCTAAGCTGAAGCTAAGCTAAAGCTAAGCTACAGCTAAGCTGAAGCTAAGCTAACACTAAGCCAAAGCTAAGCTAAAGCTAAGCTAAAGCTAAGCTGAAGCTAAGCTAAAGCTAAGCTAAACATAAGCTAAAGCTAAGCTAACACTAAACTGAAGCTAAGTTAAATCTAAGTTACAGCTAAGCTAAAGCTAAGCTAACACTAACCTGAAGCTAAGCTAAAGCTAAGCTAAAGCTAAGCTAAAGCTAAGCTAAAGCTAAGCTAAGGCTAAGCTAACACTAAGCTAAAGCTAAGCTAAAGCTAAGCTGAAGCTAAGCTAAAGCTAAGCTAAAGCTAAGCTAAAGCTAAGCTAACACTAAGCTGAAGCTAAGCTAATGCTGAGCTAAAGCTAAGCTAAATCTAAGCTAAAGCAAACTAACACTAAGCTAAAGCTAAGCTAAAGCTGAGCTAAAGCTAAAGCTAAAGCTAAGCTAAAGCTAAAGCTAAGCTAAAGCTAAAGCTAAGGCTAAAGCTCCCAGGGGACTGGGGGAACCGCGGGGCGGGGACTGGGGGAACCGCCCGGGGCGGGTTCCATTGCCCGGCCCTTTAAGCAAAGAGAGTAAGAACCCTTCTAGGCAGAGCCTAGGTAGGGAAAAAAGAAAACAGTACCGAGGTCATTCGCCGTTTGCAGCCTCCAGAGGTCCTCGCCTCAGGACCGTCCAAAAGCGACTCAGGATGAGAAGCCCGTCCCCAGGAGTGGGTCGAGACTTCCAGGGATCCCGGGTCATGAAAAAATGACGATGGGAGGTTTTTCGCAACCTTCGGCCCCAGGGAGCCCTTGCCGGGCCTCGGGGTTGTCAAACAAGGACTCGGGATGAGAAACCAGTCCCGGGCAATGGGTCGAGACCCCTGAGGGTCTACGTCACGAGAGCATCATGACGTCGGGGGTCTGGGATAAGAGCGAGGGCGGAGCGGTCTTACACCATCCCTGGTTGCGTGGGTGAAGTGGGCGTCCGTGGCCCAGATTCTGCTCGTTTGGAATTCTCACCTGGGCGACGAACAAAAACGGGTCCAACTGCGCCGACATTGGCGCGTAAGCTCCCCGCTTAAGGTCGCCCGTAAGCGCCCTCGTCTCCAATGTGGCGTGCAGCGCCGGCGGCCCGCGTAAGCCACTTCGCGTGAGCCACCCCACGTAAGGTCGCCGTGCCACCTCGCGTAAGACCCGTTTTTGATCGTCGCGCACTTCCTAATAATAATCACGAATTGTTGATCCACCCCCCTGTGCCCATGGAGTTGTTCCCATCAATCTTGTGGTGCCGGGTCCTCGTTTTCAAGAGACAGCGCCCCGCGTTCCTCTCCTCTCCTTTCCTCTCCTCTCCTCTCCTCTCCTCTCCTCTCTCCCTCCCCCTCCCCCTCCTCTTCCTCCTCCTCCTCCTCCTCCTCCTCCTCCTCCCATCCCTGTCCCTGCTCACCGCATGTCCACCATTTCGACACACTCCTCACACGTCTCGTGGCCCCATATGGATATCCACCGGTAGCCGAAGTGGCGGTGCCCACATGCGTCCGCCACACCCACTTCGGCACACCTCTCACACGTGCCGTTGCGCCATAGGGAGCTCCACCGAAGGCCCTAGTGATGGTGCCCGCATGCGTCCGCCACAGCCAGTACAGCGATTTGTGGCCCCATAGGGAGCTCCACCGAAGGCCTCAGTGGGGATGCCCGCATGCGTCCGCCACACCCAGTACAGTGTCGAGACTCCCAGGCGCCCTGAGGGAGTTCCCTAGATCTTAGTGCCGATCCTTCAGAATGCAGCATACACTGCCAGAGGTCTGCACCGGCGCCTCCCTGGCGCGCTCCGCGTGCCAGGGGCGGCCTGGGAACGCGCGGCGGCGACCCCGTCGTCGTCGTCGTCGTCGTCGTCGTCGTCGTCGTCGTCGTCGTCGTCGTCGTCGTCGTCGTCGTTGTCTTCGTCGTCGTCGTCGTCCGTCTCCTCCTCCTCCTCCTCCTCCTCCTCCTCCTCCTCCTCGTCCTCCTCCTAGTCCCCCTCTTCCATTCCTTTCCCTTATATAACTTCTACATGTCGCACCCCGAGGCCTGTCTTTAGGGCGGCTGGGCGTTTCGCCTGAGACTTCCTCACCATTTATGACCTTGAAGCTTACAAAGTGACAACCTTTCACAGATTTAGGGCGGGCTTTCAAAACATGTGCGAGAGTTTCACGGATTGAGAGCGGATCGTTTTCAAATGGTTGTTCTCGATTTAACGCCGCGCACATTCGTTTAATGCCGCGCACATTAGTTTGAAGGCATCTAGTTTTCAAAATGCGGTTTTCGCTTAGCTCCGCGCGCATTCGTTCTAAACATTTGCAAGAGTTTCACGGATTGAGGGCGGGTCATTTGCAACATGTGGTTCTCGCTATAGCGCCCCGCACATTCGTTTCAAACAAGAGCAAGAGTTTCTCGCATTGAGGGCGGTTCCTTTCCAAAATGTGGTTCTCGCTTCAGCGCCGCGTGCATTCTTTTGAAGGCGGGTGGTTTTCAAAATATGGCTTTCCCTTAGCTCCGCGCGCATTCGTTCTAAACATTTGCAAGGGTTTTACGTAGTGATGGCGGTTCTTTTTTCAACATGTGGTTCTCGCCCCAGCGTTGCGCACATCCGTTTTTTTACAATTCTCAAGAGTTTCACGGATCCCCATGATCAACGTACCAGAAGTGGCGTTCTGAAAAGATGTGAGGTAGGCCTTGAGGCCCGCTGAGCTTCGAAGCGTCTCCCAAGGGCTGCGAAGCTTCTCTGAGAGGTTCCAAGGGCTTGCCAAGGGGCTCCAGAGGCTGTCTAAGGTGTTCCGGGAGCGCTGTCAGAGGTCGTGGGGTTTCTCCCAGAGGTTTTCAGAAGGTATTCGGTCATGGTGACACTTATAAGCAAGACGTGGGCAGCACGATTGCGAAGGCGATGGACCATCTGGGCTGGAGATGTTGAACTGCCTCGGGAGAAGTGTTGTCAAGACTCCCTCAGGCGGGAAATTTCGGTAAAGGAATACAGGGCCCCCCTGTGCAAGAAAAGATCCCCTTATCAGGGGAAGCTGTCATGGTGGATGCATGCTGCATGTAACATGATTGTTGTTTGCTCATTCCTGAAGAATCCTTATTGGTGATCGCCCTTCCGGTGACCATTCTGATGTTTGAAGTCCAAGGGCTCCTCCCAGTGTTCGCACCCTTGTTTTCATTATGGAGAAGTGTGGTGCCACCAAACTGGATTATTGGCCCCCGGATCATAAGAACAACAACAACAACAACGGCCCCCGCCTAATATTTCCTCAAAATTCATTCCGAAATCTCACTCTCGCGTGGGACTTTTTCGCAATGTACTCGGACGCCGCGCCCTCGACATTCAGGAAACACGCTCTCGCTCTGGCCTTTCTCACGATTTACTTTTTGGAGTCGCGCTATCGCTCGGGACGTCCTGGCGACTCATGCAGGACGCACGCTTCAGCAACCAGCCTGACTACCTGGCCGCCTGGGTCCGCCTTCCTGACCCGCCCGTTACGTTAGGGTCTACCCGCCCGATCTGCCCGTCTTAGTTTGCCACATGTTTTCTTTTCTTACCCCCCCTGCAAATCTCTGTCGTGATACATCCGTTTCCCTCCCCCTTCCATCCGTCATCTCTCTCCCTGTTTTAGAGGTTGCGCTAAATGCGCGCTGCAGGTAAAAAAAGAGATACCCCAACGGGGTACGAGCGAACAGTCTTAAAATGAGTGTTGTTGTTGTTGTTGTTGTTGTTGTTGTTGTTGTTGTTGTTGTTGTTGTTGTTGTTGTTCAAGTTTCACTTCTTTAGACTACTTATGTTTGATTACCCCGGTGACCCATGCATTTTTCAACTGAAGTGCTACCCCCGAGGCTCGCACCTTATTCTTCCTACAATGGAAACTGAGGAAGCTTCCTTGGTGGCCCCCGAACTACAGCACAACAACGGCTCCCGCCTGATAAATCCTCACCATGTATTCCCAAATCGGAAACACGTGTTGAATGGCACGCGAGTAGATAGGAGCGAACAGTCTCAAAATGGTTGCCGTTGTTGTCCGTCGTCGTCGTCGTCGTCGTGGTCGTCGTGGTCGTCGTCGTCGTCGTCGTCGTTGTCGTCATCGTCGTCCCCCCTCGCGACAGCCCCGCGACCCACCCCGCGACCCACCCGCGAGTCACTCTCGACCCACCCCGCGCCCACCCCCTCACTCTTATCCGCAATGGTGCGGTGCTGCGTGAAGCGTTCCACTGCGTCCGGGGCACCCGCAGAGCGTGCTGGGGCGCTCTGGCACTCCCGCGGCGCACGCTGCGTCCTCCAGAGCCGCCGGACTTCCGAGGTCCCCGCCTTGTGCCGGTTCAGTTGTGTTCTGGTCCTGGCATCGCCTCAGGTGCTTGGGCGCCGTCTACGGCGGGGTGCTGGTCGACGTCGGGCGCGTCTCGCCCGGCGCAGCGCTGCCCGCCCTCCTCGCGGCCTTGGCCAGCAGCGGCTGGGCGGCCGAGTGGGCCGAGGACGTGGCCGGCTCGGCGGCGCGGAGGGCGCTGCGGCGCCTGATGAGGGGTGCGGGAGCGCCCATGGATGGAGGCGCTGAGGCGGGCGGCGCCTCCGCCGCCGAGGCTCCAGCGAGCACGGCTGCCTCGGAGCCGGGGGAGCGCACGGAGGCGGGGGCTCCGCTCGGCGCTCTCTGCGCGGAGCGCGGGCCGCAGCCGTGGGACGACGGCGGCGCAGCGGGCGCCGACGGCTGCAGCGAGATCAGCGACGACGCGGCCACGCTGCTGGGCCTGCACCGGGAGCGCGCCACAACGCTGGGAAGCGTGGAGGTCGACGGCACGCCCTCGGCCAGGGGCGCGGCCGAGGAGGACTCGCCGGGCGCGTTTTGGAGGGTCTGCGCGACGAGCCCGTCCTCGAGGAAGAAAAAACTGAATAAGCCTGAACGTCTGGAGCTTCGCGCGGACCTCTTGGATCGGCGCTGGGCTCACGTGGCGGCGTCTCGGGCGCCGCCCCTGGCGCGGGGAGGGCTCCCAGCGCAGATCAGAGAAACCCGCGCAGAGCTCCAAAATTTCGTGCTTGCAGCCAAGACGCTGCGATAAGGAATAGGTCGGATTTGGAAGAGACTCGCCGTTCCTTGGGTCCTTCCATGGGTGTTCTCGTTCACCCTCGGCCGAAGAGGGGCTTCGTTCCTTGCTTGGCCTTCCTTCTAGCATTCCGTCGGGCGTGTCCCCCTCGAGGAAAGTTCCAAAAACGGTCACAACCAAAAATAGCCCAGGGACGCTTCGTCGGTGATCTCTTGGCTGCTCTTCGCCCCAAGGTCCCCCCGAAAAGGGGGACGTGTGCCCGACCGAATGGATACCCAGAGATCCGACGTCGTGATTTTTTCAGTACGGGGTCCCCGGAAGTCTCGACCCCTTTCCCAGGACCGGTTTCGCATCCTGAGTGGTTCTTTGACGCTCCCGGGGCCCGGCGGGGGCCCCTATATAGAGGCCGAAAATTGCGAAGAAGCTCCGTCTTGATTTTTGTCCATGCGTTGGACTTCTTGGTCCCCGCCCTCCTCCTCTTCCTCCTCCACCTCCTCCTCCTCGTCCCTCCTCCTCCTCCTCCTTCTCTCCTCCTCCTCCTCCTCCTCCTCCTCCTCCTCCTCCTCCTGCGTTGGCTCTCTGGGATGCATCGCAGCCTCTGGGCGGCGCGCCGGTGCTTTCTTCCTCTCCGGCCTCCGCGCGCCCCGGCGCGGCCGGGCGGCAGGGCCCTGGCGAGGCGGGGCCTCCCTCGCCGGCCGGGGCCCGCGCCGGCGGCGCCGCCGAGGAGGGCGCCGCGGAGGAGTCCGTCGGGCAGTGGCGAAGCGTCCCCCCAGGCATCGGGCGCCTCGAAGAAATCGAGACAGAGGTTTCTCATAGTTTTTGGCCTCTCAGCCCTCGCCGGGCCTCGGGACCGTCAAAAGACGACTCGGGATGAAAAACCGGTCCCAGAGAAGTGGTCGGCAGGTGGGCCCGCGTCTCGAAAAAATCGAGACGTCGGATGTCTGGGTCCTGGCTCGCCTATCCCAGAGATCCAACGTAGTGAAAAAATCAAGGCGTAGGTTTTTCATATGTTTCGGCCTCGAGGGGCCCTCGCCGGGCCCCGGGACCGTCAAGAAAAGGATCCAGGATGAAATGCGGGTCCTGCATGGGGAAAGGGTCGAGACTTCCAGGGACCCCGCACTGAAAAAATCACGACATCGGATCTCTGGGATAGCTGGGGGCGGCAAAGAGGGGGGGTGATGACTAGGGGGGGGGTATCATGGCGTGGGCCATGAGATCTCCCCAGGTTTCATGGCGCCTCTTCTAATCTCATTGCGTCCCTGGCCCCCCCGCTGGGCCGCGCACGTGCCGCCGGTCATGATTTGCACCCCCCCCCTCTCGGACACCCCCCTTTTGGCCGCTCCCGATATAGCCCCACCAAGCAATGTCCTAAGCACCATTTGGTGGTTTCCACGAACTGCTCTCGGAGCATTCCTTGCGGAGCCTGCCTCGTTGGAACACACATATCTGGTTGATGTTCTGAGGACCGTGCTTTTCTGATTCGTGGTAGGGCTAAAGGACTGCCGGGACAGTCGGCCCCTGCTCAGAGGAGGGCGGCGCCCGCGGGGAGGGCGGCGGCCCCGAGGGCCCAGGGCCGCGGCGGGGGAGCCGCGCCCACGAGGAGCATCGCGCGGCGAGCGCAGACCCCCTCGCGCCGCCCGGGCACTCCCGCCGGGAGGCGTCAGGCCACGTTCGGCCTCGAGGAGGCCCTTTACCGGGCCTCGGGGCCGTCAAACTTAAGCTTGTCATCGCTCGGACGTGTGCATTTTTTCTCGGCGAGAACCATCGAGGACCATCCTGGACCATCGAGCAACAAAAAAAACACGCACGAAACCGACACATGCACGGGAGATGGACGTCCGAGCGACGGCAAGTAAGGGCTCGGGAGGAGAAGCCGGTCCCGGGGAAGGGGTCCGGACCTCTGGGGGGGGCGTGGGTGGGCCTGTTTTCCACCACAACCACCACAAGTTGGAGGGTGAGGGGGTCCTCCTCCTTCTCCTCCTCCTCCTCCTCCTCCTCCTCCTCTTCGACCACCTCCTGTTCCTCCTCTTCGTCCTCCTCCTCCTCCTCCTCCTCCTCGTCCTCCACCTACTTCTCCCCCCTCGAACTTATGGTGGTGGTGGCAGGAAACAGGCCCATCATCACCAGGCGATCGCAAACATGGATCAAGGGGGCGTGGATTAGCGACGGGCCCCGTTTCCACGGAAAGTCGCGGAGTTCCGCCGCCGAACGATCGGTGGCACCGGCCGCATTCTTGGGAGGGCACCTCCCCCGATGCATGGATCTGGCGACCGCGCGCCAAGTCCATGGATCGCTAATCCATGTTTGCGCGCCCCCGACCTCGGATCGGGGCGATGCAGTTTGCTCACGAGGGGCGACTTCGCTCGGTTTTGGGCCCCGGGGGCCCTCGCAGAGCGATCGGGCTCGCACATTGACGCGGAGAGAGGAGGCCTGGAGCTCCTGTCACGACTTCTCGCGATGCTGCACTCCTCCCCGGAAAGGGCTCGGGCCCAGGGTTTTCCTTCAGTGTGGTACCTTGTTTTTGTGCCAAGTTCGAAGAGGGACGGCAGATTCCCGCTCGAAGAAAGATGAATCACACTCCCATGTTGCTTTCAGACAGTGCGTTTCGCGCGCGCCCGCTCGAGGAACATGTGCCACCCATCTCGGATATTCGTTGCCTGACGGGGTCCACAGATCCCCGCTTTCCTCTGTAAAAGAATATGCGGAGCGTGCTACACATAATCCTGACTGAATACAGGTTCGGAGACTTTAAATTTTATATCACATTACCGAATGCTGACTTTTCGCATGCTCGCTGGTAGACGGCGCGCGCTGCGCGCAGGTTTCTCCAGGACGTCTCGAGCCCCGCGCTTGCTCTGCAGAAGGAATGCTGGCTTTTTGCGCGCCCGCCCGAGGATCTCTGAGGATGTCTCGCGCGAAACGCTTGCCTTGCAGCGTTTGAAGAGGCCTGGGCTCCCCAGGGTGCCCAGGTGGTTCTGGGGAGCGCGGCCGAACCATCATTTACGAGGGATCGTGGCCCTGGGAGCGTGAAACCACGTGGGGGCATAACGCCCCAAGCGTGCAAACACATAGGGGTCCTGACGGAGCGGGACAAGCGCCTGAAAACATTCGGTTTCCGAGCGCCGCAGGGGCAAGACGAGCGTGAAACCACGAGGGTTCCTGACGCCCCCTAGCGGGACAAGCGTGAGGACACATGGGTCCCTGACGCCCCAGAGCAGGCTGAGCGAGAAAACACGTGGGCTCCTAACGGCCCAGAGCAGGATAAGCGTGAAAACACGTGGGTTCCTAACGCCGTGGAGCTGGATCAGGGCGAAAACAATTGGGTTCCTGACGCCCCAGAGCAGGACGAGCGTGAAAACTTTTGGGCTCCGCACGTCCCAGCGCAGGACAAGCCTGAAAGCATGTGGGTTCCCAACGCCTCAGGCAGTGACAAACGTCACAACTGGGTCCCTAACGCCCCCGAGCGAGACAAGCATGAAGACACATGGTTTTCCCAACGCCTCAGAGCAGGACAAGCGTGCAAGCACGTGGGTTCCTGACGCCCCAGGGCGGGACAAGCGTGAAAACACATGGGCTCATGACGCTCCGGAGCGGCACAAGCGTGAAAACACGTTGGTTCCTAACGCCCCAGAGCGGGACAAGTGTAAAAACGTTGGTTTCTAACGCCCCAGAGCGGTGTCCCGCTCTGGCACTGCCCTTTCTGTGACGGGATCTTTTTGGTCTGCGGATCGGCTGTCGTCTTTTTCCAGGCAAGGGCGTGGGTTCAGATTTTTCCGATGAAGGGCCTGGGCCCAGGCTTCTTCATCAGCTGGTAAATTGTGTAACAAATTCGAAGAGGGCCGGCAGATGTTCTTGGATAGCTAATGCGGTCGAAGAGGGCCGGCGGATTACATGTTGAGAGTGTCCCGAGCGAAATGCTGGTTGTTGAAATTCCGATCTAAAGAACAACACATAAAATGAACATGCTCGTTTGTTGCGGATGTGTCAAACGAATCGCCTCTGTAGCAGAATGTGGCAGCGGGATAAGCGTCACAACACGCATGTTCCTAACGCCCAAGGGCAGGACATGCGTGATATCACGTAGGTTCCTGACGCCCCAGAACGGGACAAGGGTGAAAGCACATTGGTTCCTAACGCCCCTGAGCGGGACAACTTGGGATCGTAACGCCGAAAAAAAAAACGACACGGCGTATGCCCTTTACCCCCGCGGCGCGTCCCCTAGCTCGTCCTCTGTCGCGTTCTCTGGCGGTTTCCTTGCCCGCCGTTCCGTGGCGCGTCCCTTGCAACGTTCCTGACACGACCCCTGGCCATTCCCTCAGTGCGCCTTTGGCACATTTTGTGGCGCGTCCATGCGCCCTGCGCCCCGTAACGTCTGGTCCCGCTTCGGTGCTGCATATTGTCTTGAGCTCGAGATGATTGAGCGTCCCACACGTGTCGCTTGCAACCAGCTCTGGGCCAGCTATGCGCCCAGGCAGCTCGAGCTTAAGATCTCTCTCTGTATATTTCTATTTAAATTATATATATGTGTGTATATATATATGTCTATATGTGTATATGTGTGCATATATGTATACATATATATATATATATGTATACATATATATATGTATATATATACGTATATACACATACATATCGTTTGCTCGTCGTCGCCCTCTTCCTCCGCCTCGTTTTTCCTCCTCCTTCCCCTCCTCCTCCTCCTCCTCCTCCTCCTCCTCCTCCTCCTCCTCCTCCCAGCTTTTCCAGCCCCTCCTGCTCAGGTCTGCTGAATGCGGGGCGCAGGAGGGCCCAGAATGCGGGGCGCAGGAGGGCCCCGCTCCACATTCATTCATGATGTTCAGAGGTCTCTGGCCAGAGATGGTCATCTCGGCTCTCGTGTACAATCCGTTACATGCGACAGGTGACAGACTCGTGGAGATGTCGCTCGAGCTCGCCAACATCAATGTGGTGGGATTGCCGGGTCCTGGACGAAAAGGCTGCGTCCGATGTGGGTTGTCGTGCTTGTGTTGATGCGGGGTGGCGACGAGGGGGTATTACCAATCGTTTTGCTGGAGTAGCCGCCCTCCTCCCGCCAGGATGGAAGCAACGTGATATTCGCCAGATTGCCGTGCCAGCTCCTGCACTTCAGGGCCGAGGGGTCTCTATCGAGTGCGGCAAAGCGGGGTTGAACCTGTGCATCATGCATGGTCCTCTATTTCTTTCCTCGTCCATCCTCAGCAGTTGGCATGAGGGCGCACCTTGCATGCTGTCGTCAGCTGGCGTCGTGGGCACAGCGGCAGCTCGAAAGACTCCCAGGCCGCTTTCACCCCATTGTGTTGGATGACGCTAACGACAAACAGGGGACATGGGTGGAGGTGGAGACGGAGGCGGTGGGAAGGATACGGACCAAGGAGCGACATCTTGCAGGATGAGGTCAGAGGTTTCGTGAGCTGCCTGAATCAACCTGTCTTTTTTCGCTTACCACGTACAGTGCGTAGTCCCCGGGTTTTTACGGAGGGAACGACAGCAGTTCGATGTCGGATCACGTGGTGCAATGCTGCGCAGTGCGCCCGTCCTTTTCATGCTATAGGGCGTAAGTAGTCGCGAACCTCAAGACCATATACCCGTGCTCGTTACGGCCCAGGTTCAGCGTTGAGGACGGAGGCAGCAGCGACAACCCAGTGCAGGCCCCCGACAGCCTTGAAAGGGAAACCGTTAAATGGGATAGGGAAACGCTTATGCAGGGAGTCCGTGGCTGGCCTTGTCAGGAAGCTTTTCTTCGGGAAGCTGGAGCTGCCCTCGAAAAGATGTGGGCAATCTGCTACAACAACCGCATGCTATTCCTAGGCCAGGTGTGTTCGTGGAAAAAGTAGATTCTGTGCTCCGCCGTCTGGGCGCCGGACATTTCTGGCGGGGCTCATCAAAGCTACCCCGTGGCAAGAGCGACCCGAGTTGCCCACCTTGCGTCGCCAGCTTGGCGGGCAGCTCCCAACACTCAGCGATGATGAATATCAGGTGTGTGTTGCGAGAAACTTCGGGACGTCACCCGTCGAAGGCAGGTTCTGCGCCGCCGTCGTCGGCTTGATCGCAATGGAAGAATCGTCGCTGAAATCTGGGGCGCCTGGTGGGCTCGAGATTTTCCACTCGTGCACCGACTCTCGCTGCGCCTCGTTGGAGGACGTTTTAGCCTTGCCACGAGAGATCCACGGAAGCTCGATGGCGCCTTGCCAACTCCTGATCAGTGGATGGAGGTATTGGGGCAAGAGGGAGGGGTGGGAGGGGCGCAGGCAACTCGCGCTACATGGTCAGACTTCCGCAAGCACCAGGATGCGCTGGCCAACGCTCCAGGGCCAGCGGGCGACGCTCGAGCGTCCTCTGCTTGCTTTCGTGCTGCGCTCGACCTGGAGTTGATCCAGCAATGCTTCTCGAGGGCCCCCAAGCGTCGCGGGGTCCCCTCATGGGCGCTTTCTGTGGAGCTCTGGCATGCATGCACAGGTTCCCCTACTGCTCACGCTGCCTCTACTGCGCGTGCTGGTCTTGGGGCCGACACTAGCAAGGCATATTGTTGTGTGTTCTACGATTCTTAGGCTTACGCCACACCGCCGACCCTTTGTTTATGCCAATCTGGGCTATGGGTTATGGGTAATGGGTTATGGGTTGGAAAACGGCTCTGGGTTATGGGTTATAGATTATGGGTTAGAGGCGTCTTGTATGTGTAGCGGGATCTCGCGGCACGCCTCTCGGGGGCCTATGGCAGGCAGTTTGGAACCACTTGGGGGCCCAGGTGGAGGAAAAGGAGGAGGAGGAGAAGGGGGACACGGAGAAACGGCTCTGGGTTATGGGTTATGGGTGAGAGGCTTCTTGTATGTGTATCGGGATCTCGCGGATCGCTTCTCGGGGGCCTCTGGAAGCGAGTTTTGGAGCCACTTGGGGGCCGTTTCGGAGCCTCTGGGGTGCTTCTTGGGGGTTCCTTGGGGCGTCTGGGCGGCCTCGTGAGGGCCTCTGGGGGCCTCTTGGGGCACTCTTGGGGCCCCCTGGGGCTCCTGGGGGCAGAAAGCTAGAGTTTCAACATGTTTGGTCGCCCTCTTGGGCCCCTCTTGGTGCCGTCTTGGAGCCCTCTTGGGCCGTCTTGGGGACCTCTTGGGCCGTGTTGGGGCCGTCTTGGGCCGTCTGGAGGCCGTCTTGGGGGCCTCTTGGGCCATCTTGGGGCTGTCTTTGGGGCCTCTTTGGCCGTCTTGGAGCGTCGGGAAGCCGAAAAGGCGGAAAAGCAAAAAACATCGGAAAAGACTATGGAAAATCAACAATTTTAGATTCTTGGGGCCCTCTTGGGAGGCTTGTTTGGGACCTCGGGGGCCGTCTTGGAGACCTCTTGGCCCGTCTTGGGGCCATCTTGGGCGTCTTGGAGCGGTCGCTTGGCGTCTCGGGGCCTTCGTGGGCCGTCTTCGAGGCTTCTTGGGGGCTTCTTGGCCCGTCTTGAGGCCCTCTTGGGCCCGGAAAAGCCCCGTGAACCGCTCGTCCCGGCCGTGCTGCGCTCGTCCCGGCCGCGCTGCGCTCGCCCCGGCCGTGCTGCGCTCGTCCCGGACCCCCCCCCTCCAAATCGACCGGACCGGGCTCCCGGGGGAGGGGTTTGGGGAGGTAGCAAGGCATATTGTTGTGTGTTCTACGATTTGCTCCTGATGGCTTTCGCTGGCATGCGATGCTGGGGCGTGGTACCTTCCTGAAGGCATTTGAAGTTAGTAACTGTTAGGCGGAGTTATAACTTAGTTATAACTCAGTTATAAAAGTTAGCATGTTGATTTATTTCGGATAACATGATAGTTTTTCGGCTAACATATACTTGATTTTGGGGCGTTCGATGTTGTGTTTCTTGCGGGATGTTTTGAAGATGTATTCATTGATGTGAAGATGTACACTTCTACATCGCAAACGCGTCAGCATTCCAATTTGCGATACTCAACTGGCCAAATGCAAGTGATTGCATCGCCGAGACGCCTGTTAATCACAGGGTGCCTCAGCGAGTCCAAAGGAATGCGCGCGGGATTATTATCTTCGTCTATGGAGTAGCTAGAATAGTAATCTGCGTTGTGCACGTGCCGAGTCTGCAATTCCAAGACTAAGCACAGAGGCCCTGAGGGCGCAGTCTCTGTGTCACAATCTACATGGAACCAGACCTGCACGGCTGCATGTCCTGCAGCACGTCCCAGCAAGCATATGTCTCCTCTATGGATCGGCCCGTACTTGGTCCACGCCGTGAGGCTCGATGATGCCGATTGCGTTTGCGGGCGCAACTCCTTCAAGACGCCCATGAACTTCTTGGTGGCGGCTACGGGGTCGACCAGCGTCGTTGAGATGCTGAAGTGCTCCATGTCGTAACTGTGCTGCGCCGTGAGCTGCATCATCAATGACCTCTCGGGGGTCTTCATGCACAGATGGTCCTTTGCAAACTTCTTGCAAACTTTGCGCAGCCGCTCGTGGACGAAGCAGTTCAAGGGTCCGACTTTGAAGTACATGTCGGCAAGATGAGTTGCCATATGGTGTTTGTAAACCCAATATTTAGTCCCGTATGTGCGCGTGTGTAGCTCCAAATGCTTCATCACGGCGACATCCAGCTCACGTGCAGTCGCGAGGCCCCTGGACGAGAGAATAACCATATCAATGGCATCGCACAGTGCAAGTAAACTTGCAATATGACCCGAGATGGTGCCTGCATCAGGCAGCTTGGCAATGACTTGCCTGATGAAGTGCGCCAGCGCGGGAATCATAGACAGCTCTTGCGATGCGTTTGCTTGTAGTTCGCCCTGTGCGAACACGGCATTGGCGGCGTGAAACTTGCGGGGCCATGTCCAGTTTGAAAGATAGTCGTTGAGATCTCCGGCGCTGCAGAGTTTGCAAACCGCCTTGTTCTCAGTGAAAGCTTTCACTTCTTTAGCTACGATGCCATTGACGCTATAGATGTGCATCCAATCGAAGCAGAGGAGCGACATGACACCGTAGGCGAGGTTGGCGTCCAAGGCAACGTGCGTCGGATGAAAGTTCCAACCCTTTAGCTGCGTGGTCTCCTTCCACTTGTTGTCGCTAATCTCACCGCGGTCGTTCCTCTCCCAGTCGGGGCGTAGCCTTTCCAAGATAGCAACGATCTGCGCGTCTGCGTTGACGACGCGTTTGCTTCTGTCGAGGCATGCGTCCGATATAAATGTACCAGACGTGTCGTGCGACGCATGGTCGAACTTCTGGTTGAGCACGTTCCTGCAGATGGCACGCGGTTTGGTGCCCGCGTGCCCTTTGTTCATGTGGAATTCACGGAGGGCTTCTTCGTCGCCCACAGTGCAGCCCAACCTCGCGATTATAGTCGCGTGCCTTGTGGCATCCCCTGCTTCTGACACGTCCAAGATAACTCCAGTCGTACGAAAGTTCACCCCGCCAGACGTATTGAACATGAGCTCGTTGCACGTCATTGCAACCGACTGCCCGATCCCTCCAGGCATGTCCCTCACTTTGGAAACCCCAGCGGTGCTGAGCACGAGCCATGCGTCTTCGTCCTGCAAGAACTCATCGAACTCTAGAAACGACCAGTATACAGCATCCACCCCTCGGTGGTCTTTGCCCTTGGCCAACGGGTCACGCGGTGAGATGCCGTCGAAATATAAGCAGATGCGCCATGGGGATGCGAGGGAGCACGGGTGCTTGGCGAGCTGGCGGCGCAACAGATCTCTGAACCCCTTACTCCGTTTCGCCGTCGAGTACAAGCACGGGCCAGGGGCGCACGCCCAGTTCTTGAAGCTCTTACCGCTGTTCAATGGCATATCAATGCCGACAAGCACGTCACCGTGCTGGTTCGGTTCGGCACCGATTAATTTCTGCCTTGCGCTGTACTGCGCATAGCGCGAAATGTTACCTGGTATACCATTATCTCGTACGTACTTGAGAATGTATGTAAGACTCCGCTCAGATACATATGGGCCTCTGTGTAACTCAATCAGTGCTTCGGCGTCTGTCTTGCGACGCTTCGGTGGCCCCGCCGGCATGGCTTGAGCCAAAACTGCCTCTGAGTGATGGTAGCATGAATGCGATATCTGCAATCGCAACAGAGGATTGTGCGACGGGTGCCCCTCGCATACGATGGCACGACGACTTGCATTTTACATTGCACCATGCAGGCATACATGAACAATGCACACAAGCGTTATAG